TCCTGTCCTCGGCCGCCGCGGTAAACGATCCGATCGCTTCTTTCTTCTCTCACTTTTCCTATTGATCTGAGTGGACCCAGGTCAGGTCCTAACAGATTGCCTGAGATTATTGGGACTCTGGGCTCTGATTGACATTTCTAGTCTCTCACAAGCCCCTCCTATTTCTTTTAAGTCTCTCTCTCTCCCTCTGCCTCCCTCTCTCTCTCATGCCCAGAGCTCTCTCTCGCCGGGTTTGTCACTAGCTGCTTTGCTTTCTTTTTTTTTTCCCCTTCCTTTTTTTTTTTTTTTCCTAAATCTGTTTACTGACGTCGCGATCTTTTATTTGAGTTGCTTTCAAATCTCGTTTTAGCGATCGCCAATCAGTTGTGTGTTTTACAAAGGTTTAACCCTGCCTCATGGTATTCTAATTATATAGAGATAGATTTAGATATAATTTCTTTCATAGCCCCCCCCCCCCTTCCCCGGAGCATAGGAAGCCAGGGTGTCAGCTGTGAGCGGCACACGAGAGGGACAGGAAAAAGTTGTGACATTTAAAAATAAAGGCTCACATCCCACCCCCACAGTCTCCCTTTTCAGGTTTTCAAATTTACAGGCTTTCCTTGCCCGGTTTCATTTTGTTTTCTTTATTAAGATATTCCCTCCTTCCCTTCCCCCTCTCCGGCCCTGACGAGGGGTTACATCTCCTAATATAGATTTAAAAGTCTATTAGATTTTTTTTTTATTTGCATTTCCAGAGCTACCTTGAAAATTTTCCTAATGTACTGAATCTTTAAGGAGTTCTCTACATTTTGTCTGGGCTAACAGTGGGCAGATACAGTGGAAAAGCTAAGTTAATTTTCCTCCTAATAAGGGACTTCAAAGAGTTGTAGGTCACAATTTTACATCAAAGGCAGAAAAGAAGGCAAATTAAAATCTTAACAAAGGAGAGACGGGAGCAGCCCTCTGGGCCATTAGTAAATAAGTGGTGTGAAAAAAGGGACAATGACAGGCACTGGAATTAAACTCATTAACACCTTTTTGTCTTGGTGCGAAATCTCTAATTAGGAAATTTATGATCATTTTGCTTATTCCCTCTGTTCTGAATCACTACAAGGCTTAGAAGGAAGTACCTGGTACGTGCAACATTTGCAAAGGGAGCAGTGGCACGGGCTTGTGAGGAGCTATTGGGAAGCAGTCAAGATACGTTTTAATTACCGAATAAGATTTTTTTTAATGATCAACACATTTTAAATTACAGTTTGGTTTTCTTTTCTTTTCTTTTCTTTTTTTTTTGGCCGCCCCCTCCCCTCACCCCCCCCATCCTTCCCCGAAACCAGCGTGTGAGTTGCAATTTAGCCTTTTAAGAGTAGTTAAAATGCAGTTCAATCACAGCGCGTCTTTGGCAGAGCCCGTGCGCCCTGCTCCGCTCCCGCCCTGCGCAGGGAGAGGCTGGAGAGAAACGGGAAAAGTTCATACAACCTGTGGGGCTGAGATTGCGGGCAGGGGAGAGGGGACCGTAACCTGCCACCGTTATCTGCTTTTTTAAATACTCGGTGTTTAAAAAAAAAAAAAAAAAAAAGTTTGAAGACTCTTTTGAGGAGTTGAGGCTGGAGGAGAGCCGTTTAGCCGTATTCCCCTCTCTTCCTAAATACTCTGTGGATTTATTGCCTTTAAAATATGATTTAGGTACAATATAACCACTGTGCCCACAGTATGGATTTTTATAACTACATTTCTTTAAAAATGAAATTCATGTCAGATTATGCAGTTAAAGGAATCGACCTTGATAGCTTGCTATAATAAAACTATATCAGCTTGTAATAAATGCGGATTATAGCAAAGCAAGCTCCAGAATTAAAATTCCCTGAATCAATATATGAAAATCTGTAGGAAACATCTCTAATCGTATTAAGTTCATCTTTATAGCATTTCCTATCTGCTAATCTAGTGCAAAAACAACTCTGGGTTGGAGGAATTTATTTTCTTCTATTCGACGTTGCTCCTGTAATAGCTTTTGATAGTATAATGCAAGGGAGATAACAATATTAAACTCAGTTATAAGTTTATTTCTTTTTAATTCAGAAGGAAAACAGGCAGCGAACCTCACGTCCTGATTTGCTTTAAACTTTTCTGTGGGAAGCGCTCGGCGGGGTCGATGCGGTGTTGAGGGGGTTCACGGAGAGTCTGGATGCAGACCACAACTTTTAAAAATATCTGCCTCGGAGAGACAAGGGACGAATATGAAAAATCGGACAACTCCGTCGCCGTTAGGTGCAGCCGCGCTCGCCACGCTGGTGTTACAGCCGGGCTGTGTCCCGCACACACGGCACACGCGTGTCCCACATAACCGGACCCGTCGTTTTGTGGCTGGCACGGAGTGTCGAAGCCGGCGGGATTATTCTGTGATTTTTTATCTGCCTCGGAGAGACAAGGGACGAATATGAAAAATCGGACAACTCCGTCGCCGTTAGGTGCAGCCGCGCTCGCCACGCTGGTGTTACAGCCGGGCTGTGTCCCGCACACACGGCACACGCGTGTCCCACATAACCGGACCCGTCGTTTTGTGGCTGGCACGGAGTGTCGAAGCCGGCGGGATTATTCTGTGATTTTTAATCAACAGCACAATCAATACGAGTTCGTTCCCCGCGGGAGCCACCGGCAGGGCTGGCGTGGGAGCGGCCGGGG